CTTTGATTTCTTTACAGATTATATGTTACTTTTCATATTATTTCTTTCTGAAAGCAGAATAAAATAAGATGAGCTGTCAAACTGAAACTGGTTAATTACAAAGATATGAATAAGAGAGAAAATTTTCTGCAAAGATGCTTTTTTAAAAGGTAGCTTTAAAAAAAAACCCTTTTTGTTAAAGATTAGTAAACTTTCCCACGTCCTCTGTTATTTCTCAAAGTCTTTTTACAATATGAATTTCCAAATTTAAGCTCACTAAACTTGATTCACCCTGACCGCAATGGCAGAGTTCTCTAGGACTCATTAATGTGCATCATCACTTAAAACATCAACAGCGGCGCATGAAGGTACAACACTTTCCAAGATCTTTCCAAGGAAAAAATGTGACAAACTCAGTACTAAGGAAAAATCATGTAAAGGAAGCATATGACAAAGTGAAATACAGTATTCTACTCCTGTTCCCTCTCCCCTTTTTTTTGTATAGGCTTAACAAGAATTCACAAAGCGATCTTCTTCTAGATAAATATGCCTATCTCCAGGAAACTAAGAGTAATAAAAGTATGTATACGTCATAGTTTCAGGCTAGCAAACAAGCAAATAAATAAGTATTGATTGGATAAAGGCTAGCTAACAGTTGTATCCCTGAGGGCTTTCTACCCACAATTTAATATATATTAATAGACTTTCATGGATGTACGTTGGAGCAAGACTAGGTACACCTGTTGTAACGCTATCACAACTCCTCCTGATTGCAGTAAAGACATTCCCAATCAGATTAGAAAAAGCCCACTCGAATCCATGACGATCTTCTGTTCCTCAGTCTCAAAGAGATCCAATACAGCTGTTTCAGAGAGAAGAGACTGGATAAGGCAGAGCAAAAGGGGAAGAAGATTTGCTGCTTTCACAGGGGGGTGCTGGAAAAGCAACGTAACCACAGCGTTCTAAAGATGTAAGAAAGACGAGGCTGTTTTTTCAGATCAATTGACAGAGCTGGGGAAAAAATAAAAGGGAAAAGACCTCAAGAATTCTGGCTTTAAGGAAAACAGGGCAGATAGATAGTTTGAAATAAGTCTGGCATACTAGAAAGCACTCCTGATTTTCCAACTTTATCAGATGATCTCGTAAAAAAAGTCACCTTCCAACCTCCTTTGCAAACGTTAAGTTTCCAAGAGTACAACACTCTATGAAATGCAGCTATCAAGCAACCTTTTTATGGCACTAATTAGAACAGACTAGGGGACTGTTATTAGTTAAGCTTGTTCCTACACCTTTTTGATTTGCTAGCTGTAGTTTACAAGTTATCACACTACAAGAGCCACGCATACAATTAGCTCTCACTGTATCCTGTAAATTTCAGTGGGAAAGCTAAGAAATCTGCAGCTCTCTGGCTACTATATTGAGAATGAAAAACGTATTATCATTTATATTGACAAATGCTGATGGTTGTCATACTAATTCTAAGCAAAGAGGCTTTCTGAAGTCACTTTGGTGCATGCAATTGCTCTAGGATCCCAGTAGTTTTTTCCATACAACTAGCTACCTTGTTGTTTACCACCCAATTCATTTATGATGATACTGCTGATGGAACCAGCTTTCTTATGTCATGCTAATTTGATCAGCTCAATAGACTTTACTGTCTGACACTGACTGATATCACAGAATCACAGAATCACAGAATCGTTTAGGTTGGAAGGGACCTCTGGAGATCATCTAGTCCAACCTCCCTGTTCAAGCAGGGTCACCTAGAGCATATTGCCCAGGATCACATCCAGACGGCTTTTGAATATCTCCAGCGAAGGAGACTCCACCACCTCTCTGGGCAACCTGTTCCAATGCTCTGTCACCCTCACAGTGAAGAAGTTTTTTCTCAGGTTCAGAGAAACCTGGTAGGTGCCTCGGGAAGCACCTACGATGGGGAGGTGCTGTCTGTCCTGATTTGGCTCCCCCCATTCACTGAGCCAGCCAGATGTGAGCCAGCTTTGATCCAGAAGCCGTGTGAGGGATCCCAGAGATGGTAAGCCCTGCTCAGAAGTGGAATTTCTCAGCTTGGGCTCTGTGCCGTGCTAATGTAAGCGT